TCCTCCCCTCTTCCTCCTCCCCTTCCTCCTCCACCTCCCCAGCACCCAGGGTAATGTGAACCTCGTGAAGCTTTCAGGAGAAAGTACGACACACCCCCAAGCCAAACACCACACTTGAAAACACTGATCCTAGTGACCCCTGCCTGAGGCCAGCGGACACGTGGGTTTTCATGAAGGGGCTTCTCAGCGGCCCCAGGGCAAGGGAGACATCTCAGGTCTCTCTGTCCCCAGCAGGCAGCCCCTCACCTCAAACCCGCCGATGACCAGCAGGGCGTGGATGTTGTAGGTGCGGATGTTCTCCACGATTGACTCCATGTGGCCCTTGGGCAGCGTCCTGCAGGCAGAGACACGTCTGTGTGAACTCGCAGCGTCCAAGGACACATGTCCAAGTCGCAGCTGGTCACGTAAAAGCATGCCACGGCCACTTCAGGGCCATTAACCCGTCACCGAGATGCCCCGGGAGCCACGTGGAGAGGGACACAGACGCGCAGCCTGTGCGCAGCCCGGGCACCCCTGGCGTCCTCGCCAGGCACGGAGCCCTCACCTCTCACTGGGCTGCTGTGGGCATCTCTGCCCGCCAAGGCTTCCTCTCTCTGCACACAGCAGCAGGAGGGGACGCTCCCCGGCCCCTCAGCCTTGCAAGCTCGGAACAGGGCAGCGTCCCCCAGATCACACAGGGTGACTATGCCCTCCCCACGCCCACCCCACGGGGTCTCAGGCCCACCCACAGGCCACCAGGCCCTGGGATGAAAACCACCAGACGGGCCCGCAGCCAGAGCGACAACCGGCCTGGCGACAACCGGAGGGCGGAACACCCTCCCTGCCCAGGTGATCAGAAGTCCCGGCGGGATGGTGTGAAGCCTGCTCTGGGCAGGACACCAGGCAGAAGAGGGGCTGAGCCCAGGGCCACGGGGCTGGTCTCCCCTTGCCACCCCTGGCCCCTCGGGCCTGGACACTACACCAGACCCTCCTGCCCCCAGCTGCCTACGCCCACCAGCTCACCTCTTGGTCCCCAGCATGGAGCCGCCACGCCCCAGCCAGCCAGCCACATGGTGCCAGCCCACTTCCTGCACCTGTTGGGGGGAGGCATGGTGTCACCGATTCCTCCCCAGCGGGGACCGGCCTGTGCTTGCAGGCAGGGGCTGTGCCGGCTCTGCCATGTGGCCACAGGGAGAGCTGGGTCCCCGGCCCAAGTGGGCACTGCCACACAGACCCAGCCCTAGGCCTCCACTGTCAGGCAGCAGGTCCCTCCCAGGGGGCCGCTTCAGAGTCTGCACATCATAAGCCCCGAGTCCTCATGCGTTTGTGATAGTCGAGGGCTGTGCTACACACGAACCAGACAACCACAAGCTCCAGCTACCGCAGGCACCCCCGGTCACAGCTGCACCTACCTGACCCTTGGCCAGGCCTTCAAAGCCGTCGTGCACGACGTACACCGTGTGGCCCTGGGAAATGCCGGTCCGCACCGCCGAGCGCACGGCCGCGTTCATGCCGGCCGCTGGGGCGCCCACGTTCAGGATGGCCAGGGAGAAGTTGGTCTGCGGAGGGAAGCGGCGGAACAAGCGTGAGACACGGGCTGAGGAAGGACCCTCTGGCCTGCACAGGAGACCAGCAGGTGGCAGGTTCTGGAAAAGGGGCCAGGTTCTCCCGCCAGCTGCCCTGGGAATAATGAACATCTGTCCTACTGATGCCAGAAGATTCCAGTGAGGACCAAGTGAGCCACGGTGCGAGCCTGGCACACAAAGGGCCGCGTCCCCAGGTGGAGGGAGTGGTCCCTGTCCTCAGCCAGGCTCGTGGGGCAGCTCGTGGGTCTGAGCCAGCGTCAGTGCCTGCTGAGAGGTTCAACGGCCACCTGTTCTCAGGGGTCAGGGAGCAGCACTGCCACAGAGAGGAGGGGAGCCCTGGCTGTCCCGTTTCCCGATAGCCACGTTAAGAACGTACAAAGAAACGGTGGCATTTCCCTTAGGACTATGGCTAACTTTACCCAGCACATCCAGATTCCTGCAGCTTCAATGTGGGATCCATCTACATAAAACGTTACTGGTGGCATTTCGCCTTCACTTCCCCCTGCGTCTTTGCAACCTGCTGTGTGTCTGGCACGTCCAGCACCCCTCGCTCTGCAGCGGCCACACGCGGCTGGTGGCGCCCCCAGGCCACGTGGCTCTATGGGTCCTGGAGACCAGCCAGCCCAGCTGCCCCCGAGCCGGCCGCGCCCTGGCCGGGCTCTGGGTGGTTCATGGAGATCACTTTGCCCTCCACGGAGGATGCTGCCCACCCAGCAAGCTTTGGGAACAAACAGGCCACCGACAAGGTGACAAGCACCCGGGCTGGCCGCGCTGTCTCCCCCTAGGCCCCGAAGCTCTGGCCCCAGCGAGGCTTCCACACCTTCTCGGTCACCTCCGTGGTGTGGCCTGAGGGGCCTCAGAGCCAGGGCCCCCCCGCGTGACTCCTGCCCCCAGCACTCTCACCAGGCTTATCTTGCAGGGACCCCGTTTCCTGAGGTTCTCAGCCGTGCGGGGCGATTCATGAACACCGCCCCCGCTCTCCCGCGTTAACGCTGGGCCTCACCGCGGTCCCGTCAGCCGTTTGAAAAGCACCGGCCGACCGTGCGGCCACGGCTCCTCGGACGCGGCCACGGCTCCTCGGACGCGGCCACGCAGGGCCTGGGCCTCCCACCCACACGGGAGGGTCGGGTCGGCGGCAGGCCCTGCAGAGGAACAGAGCGCGAGTGCTGCGCCACCGCCTCACCTTCTCCTTGGACACCTTCTGGTGGGCGAGGAGCTTGTAAATGTTCCAGTTGTTCTCGAAGCTCCTGGAAAGGAAGCCGGTCGTGCCACGCGCAGCCCTGCGGCCTCACAGCACGTAGCAGCCACACGGCTCAGCGCAGGGCCTTGAGCCAGCCTCGGCACAGCCCAGAGTGGCACGGGGCACACAGCCCCGGAACTCTGCAGGTCGCTCGGCACGTGGCTGTGAGCTCAGCCGCAAAGGAGCGGGCACCGTGCAGCCAGCGTCCCACCGTCACCACACCCCACGTGACGCGAGGCCATGTCACCCCACACAGCAAAGCACATGGCCCGGCAGCGGGCGGGAGCACGGAGACAGGAAACCAGGCATCGGATGCAGCCTGCCCCAGCCTGTCCGTGGGCACACCTGCAGGAGGGCGGCGCCCCACGCCACCCAAGGACTGAAACCCAAACATCTGGCCTTCCTGTACCCCCACTGGCCCCCGTGGCCTCCTGCACCTTCTCCATGCCCGAATCCTGTGCACTGGGCACTGGCCGTGCTGTCCCGACACTCTGGTCCCGCAGGTGCACCCTGCCCACCGGCAGCTGGTGTCCCCCCACAGCCCTCCCACTTCCCCTCACCCACCGGGCCCATCCCTCCTCTGAGACTCCTTCAAACAGTGCTCTGGAGCAGGCGGGGGGCGCAGAGCACCACCTGTCATCTCTGCAGCACGTGCACACCCAGGTGCCAGGCCCCCGAGGCCCCCGCACATCCCTGAGCAGAACAGATGTCCCCCGAGGACGGGCACGAGCTGCGCGGGCCTCACCTGCC